TTTCGACGATAAACATTCAGATCGTTATTATTATTATTATTATTATTATCGCGCGATCGTTAAAAACGCGGCCGGTAATAAAAGGCAGCGCTCGTGGCAAGCCCTCGCTCGCGGAGAGGAATAATAATTTAAAGTGGTCGCCGTGTCGTTGCTCGACAGACAGCGAACAGGATGGCAACAAAGACGACGTGGGACGCGATTAAAACCGCGAAAAACACTTCAGTGGGAAGAGGCACAAGCGAAAGAGAAGGCATTACGTCACCTCGTGTGCGGGCCGCGATATTCCTGCGGTCGCCGCGTGTGAAATCGGGATTGAATTACGCTGTGTATGCAAAGTTTCACCGAGATTCGAGCGACGTTTTATGAATTATGTAACACGGCGGGAGGGGGAGAGAGGGATTCATCGGTCGCTTCTTGTCGCGGTGCTTGACCGCTTGCTTGTAGACGCTCGAACCGAGCCGCCGACTCGTAAATCGCGAAAGTTCTGTCGATATCAATTTACCGAAACGAGATGAGAAGCGATTACACGAACGGGGTTGGAAGTTTTCTTCGAGCGAACACGCTCTCCTGAGCGTACACACCCGGGCTCGAAAGTCACGGGGCAGTTATTACGTCTGATTCAGCACCGAAGAAAAGGGAAAGACTGACGTATTAATCGATTCGCTGAAACAAGCTATGCGCGACTCGTAGCTAATAATCTTCAACAGAGCGAAGTTTGAAGTTTCGCGAAAAATGAGAAAGTGCCGTCGAGCGAATCGATATCTCCAAGCAAGATAATCTTCGAAATGCATCATTATTCGAACCGTGAAAATGCCGTGAAAAGTCCGTGATAAATGTCTCCGATACAAGACGAAGTCTTCAACCCTTTGAACTCGCAGAGTTCCACATTGCCGTTGAAGACTCGAGTTGAATCTCGCTTCTCCATTGTGTGGAAGTTGCTCGCGAGAACTGAATATGAAATACGAAACAGGAAAGTTCCTCGACAGAACCAGAGTTTCTAAACGTTTAGACTCTAAAAACTTCCAACGTAATCTCTGGTAACTGTCGTTCGATCGGCAATCCCGTAAGCGTTTTGCCGCTGCGAAACTTGGAAGAAAGGAAATGAGGAAAGAAGGGAGGAGAGCGGATAATAATTCTTCCCATGGTTTCCACTCTTCGGCCGTTTCATTGCCACGTTCGAGGTACACGCGTATCTAGTTCAGGAGATTTTCGACAAATACCACCGGTCGCTCTCCGGCGAGAAACCGGCGGCTGACGTTCCTAAGCTTCTTCCAATTTTAGAATGTCAAAGCCATTCCCGGTTGTAACCCTGGTACGTGACTCTCGGCAGAGAGAGAGCCAGCTTCTCGTTCCCGCAGGATCATGTGCGTCTGCTTGGCGCACGCTGCTCCCGGACACGTGCATCGAACATCAATATACGCGGCGACGAAAACGCATGCGAAGAGAGGAAGAGAGATAGATAGATAGATAGAGAGAAAAGGATGTATGTGTTCCCTAAAACGCAATAGTTCCACGTCGTTAGCCGAGTTAGGCAGTTTCTTCTCTGTTTCGTCCTTCTGGATCGTTCGCGTGCTCTCACCCTCCGCAAATTGAAAAGTGCCGCGAGTACGCCGGGGGTCGCCGAGATTTATTTTCTTAGCGGCAATTGATAACGCTTCATAACCTCGGCCTAATGTATCTGAAGCCTATAATTCATCCGTTACCCCATGGAACGCTCCTAGTTCCGATTGCCTTCTTTTTTTGTTATCACTCTTTTGCGAGTCTTTCCTTGAGGGCGCAGTAGATACGTCGGGATGCTTTAATAGAACGCTTTAGGAATTCTCAGAAGGTACATAGACATTTTTATAAAAGAAGAAAAATTGAAAAGGAATGTTCTTTACACCAAACTCGTTGCAAAACTCGTCGAGTGTAACCACAGAAGATTTTAGACGCCAAGGGTTAACCGTTTCAGCGAAACTACCCTAAAACTTCGCTCCGTCTGGTAGCAGGTCAATTCGCAACAGTTCTCGCGTCTTATCGCGGCTTTCGACGAAAATCGAAGTCTCGAGGGGTGGTTTCTACCCAACCTCTTTCTCTCTCTCCACGTACTCGCGTTCAGGCCTCCGCCACGGGATAATGGCACTTTATTTGCATGCACGATCAATTTTCCCTCCCCCTAGTTGGAGGGAGGCGCGGGAGGCGTAACGGCTACCGATTACATAATTTTCTTCGATATTAAAGCGGGCCGACGCGGGCCAGAATAGGGAGAGAATACAGCCTAGGTCGAACGATATCGCGTGCAACTTTGATGTGGTTCGGTCGATAGAATCGTCCAGCTAACGAGGGGAGGGGAGTGTGCACTGCGTCTGGATCTAAACGGACCAGTGGGCCACCCTTGACTACCAGCAGCCAGCCGCCACACCTCATTGTTGCGACTGTTTGGACCGCGACTCAACCCTTCGACGATCGTTCCCTGCCAAGCGTCAATAATTAAAACCGGTCGCGTAATTAAAAGTAAATACAACGGGGAGGGGCCGTGGAGTTTGGTCGTTCGCGTGGAAAACTTGCTCGGTAAATAGCGGACGAGCGACGAGCAGGCGAGAGGCGACGAAGGGGCAATTTTTCCTCGAGCTGGAAAGCGATTATTAAAGCGATGGCAAGTGACTGGAAGTTGTTGAGTAGCTGGGTGCTAAATTGGGTAAGAAGGTATTTGAGCGTGAGCCGCGAGGATTCCTCTTGTAGTATAATGATTTGTGAATTGGTTCTTGTAGTAGAATGATTTGTGCATTAGTTGTGAATATCAGGGAACTGGCAAGTTACATGATCCAATATAACCTCTGTTGTACAAATTTTGTAATATCGAATCGAACGATTATTTATCCCGAAACTTTAACACGCTTCGAATTTTTGTACTGTGGTAGTAGTAGTTTGTAACTAGTTGAAAGAGAGATTATCCAGCAAGTCGAAAATTGATTTAAAAGTGAGCAACGGAAGCTGAACAACGAGGAACAAGGTAGAAGGAAAATCAATCACTTATTCTTCTTCATCAAGATGAGTGTTCCAATAGAATTATTTTCCTCTACATTAATTACTTAATTAATTACTTTGTTGTAACTTGTAACATTTCGATACTAGTTGAAAGAGAACAACGAAAGTCAATCCCCTACATCGCGAACAACGACGAAGAAGGTAGAAAGAAAACCGACCGATTATTCTTCCCCGTCAAGATGGGTGTTCCCATACGTCAATGGAATTATTTTCCTCCACATTAATCGTCCGACGACCGCGGTTAAAGCGGCTCGTGACGCCTTCGACATTCGCATTAATATACCTGAATCGATGAATATCGTTCTTTAGAGCGGCGCTCAGCGAACGATCTCAGCCTGTTCTATTTTGTCGGTGCGGGACGAACGATTTGAATGGTATCTGATCGCGAACCAAGCTGCAACGTGGATATAAACGGCGCTCACAAGCCGTGAAGAATCCATCTAAGAATGTCGCGCGACGAGTTAGGCGCGTTTTCTTCGCAACTGGTCGCACT